ACAACATTTTACAAAAACTAATGTCTCATATTTAACACCATAAGTCATGACCAGGAGACAAGATCAGATTTCAGATTTTGCAGAATCAGATTTGGTAGCATTAATTTTTTGTGGGCAGCTGCAACTAATGTATTTTTCCTTTGACTCATTACAAGCTGCTTTTCACCACCATTTAAACTGACAGCTGTAGAGCTGCAACAATTGATCATTAACTTGAATAATATCAAATTCATCAGGAGCTGTCATTATAACAATAACTGAAAAATCTTTTCTGGGTTATGGTCATCTTAGGTTGTTGATCTGTCAAAGAATGTCAAAAAACGATGAGGAAAATACCATTTAGTCACATGCAAAGGCTGATTTTGTTACAATAGTTTTACAACATTGGGCATCTTTTGTACCTTTTTTTGATTAACTGACAAATTTATCGTCTGCTTCCTTTACTGGAATGCTATGAAAGTTGTCTGTGTGCACTCCCTATTCACATTCAGTAATGTTGTCATGTTAAATTATTATGACAGAGCACTCTTTGGAAGGCGTTCTCTCTAAGCTAATGAAGGCATTGAGCTTTGCAGCATGATCTATGCTAGTGTGGTGTTCCAGGAGTTGATGACTGTGTGTTGTAATGTGTTGCTTCAGGGTGTGGTTGCTTGGGAAGACTCTGGGTTCTGGTTCGCACTAGTCCATCACTACCACCACCACCACCTAATATGTGCAATCACTACCACACAACTCATGAATAGCCACATTGTGTGTCTTTTAGCTCAGCAGATATTCGAGCTATGTACACGATAATACTTTTATTTTTCCTGTTGTTATGTTCAAAGGAATTGCTGCAGTTTATTATAATGATGAAACTCTGGGTCCACGGCCAGGGGCTGTAAATTGTTGCACACATCTGCTGATGGGAAAATATGGTGTGTTCCTCTTAGCAGACCAAGGAAAGACCAAGTCTTGCCGTTTTAGAGACTGGGTATATAAATAAGGCTATATATTTTGGTTTTCAGTGTAATGTCGATGCTTTTTTAAAAGAACTAATTCGATTACTAATCCATTTTAGTAAAAAATTAATAAATATAAAAAATAAAATAACTAATTATCTCGTGAAGGTTACACGGAAGTTAAATACTGCAGGTCGCAACAAATTTTTCAGTATTGATTATTTTATTTGTCATCTATTCGAAAAAATGTCACAAGTCTCACATCACAAGCTCCAACACCTGAGGATGACATGCACAGAAGCCTTGTTTTGTCCTAAAAACAGTTCTAAACAGAAAAGAATTAAACCTATATCCTGATAATTAAAGCAGTTTTTTTAAAATTTGTGAAGCAGATAAGTGCAAATATTTGTTGATTGTGCCTGAAATTCACTGGGTAATTTAACTCAGACATACTTTAAGAAACTGACCATTTATAACAGCAATGAGGAAGCGGACAGGAGAATGGATTCTCCCAAATAAATATACCTTTGAACCCTATTGTTAAATCATAAGTGTAGAGCTCCACATATAAGGAGAAGATTGGGGTGGTGGAATGAAGTGAAGGGAAAAAAGCTTTGTCATGAAGTCATTGTGATAAGGTTATCCAAGGCTAAATTTCCTAAGGCATTAATATGTTCAATTACTTACATCATATTTGTTTTATTGAGCAAGTCCTGTATGAAGAAGATATCTTGCCCTTGCTCATTTTGTGAGCAAGGGCACGTCTGTAAACCCTTAACCCTGTTGTACAGTCAATTGTACATTCAACCAGTCAGCAAAGCCAGCATATCAGCGAAACCAGGCGCACCCTGTCTCTCCTCTCTTGCTTCTCTCCCTCTCGTCAACCTGTTGCCATGGCAATGGCCTGCTAGAGTCGGCCCATGGTGCAGCAGCAAATTGTTCTTGTCTGACTGTGTGGCGTCATGACAACACCCAAATCAGGCCACAAAACATCAAAAGGTGTTGACAAAAGGCTCCTCAGACTTAGTGTTGCTTTTTTAGTTTTACTTTGGAACATGTTCGTTACCACTGTAGGGATTATATAATATTTGCATTATTTTGTAACACAGATCAGAAATTGTCTGCTTTATGAAATGATTGAGTGATCAGTTGGTGATCGCATTCGGTCTATTGGATAAAACGATTACGCTGAGAAAAAAAACATTGACGGTTAAAATTATTGCGTAACAGAATCTGGATAAATGTGGTTACGATGTTAATCCATGACCTTAAAAGCGGCTTGAGCTTCAACGACATCAGCCTCCCAGATGACATCCCTGTCTGGAGAAATTTTCATTTTAAAAGAAGGGAAAGGTCTGCAAATTATGGTGATTTACTGGACCCCCTTTCAAGTAAAGGAGAAAAAGACTGAAGGATGCTGTTTAACCTCCTGACACCAGAGCTGTTGTTTGGGGAGCCTTTTTTACTTTTTTCTAGCTATGTGTGAATTCTTTTTACATACTTTGTTACATGCATGTCCCCTTGTGAGAACATGCTCACAAGGGGACATTAGGTTTATTTTACAGCACAACACAAGTAGAATGAAGTGTGTGATGCAAACAAAGCCTGGATGTAATGTCCCCATGTGTGGATGCAGGAGGTTATAATACACATGCAAACGTTATAATACTCTGTACACAGAGCTCTTCACATATATATGGGTCCATAGTCAGTTTATGTATCAGTGCAACCAGTATTTTGTCACAGATCTGACATGATCCAGATATTGAATGTCATTTAATGGAGCTTGCAAAGAAAAGCGTCTGGACGATGACCTGGATGACTGAGAACCTTCACAGACACAATGTCATTTAATCATCTGCCATCTGAAAAGTGATGAGTTGTGCAATAATTGACACTAGTTGATGTTCATCAAATAAATGAAGACATTTCCTCCCAAATCTTGCTTGTTTTTCTGGGCACGCAGACTTACTGGGTGGTCCATATAGTTATGCTATGTGAGATGTGTTTGCTTGTGACACGGCCACCACATGTACCCCTCTCCAGCAGCCATGAATGAAACATTGTTCATATCCTGTGGGCGGAAAGAAATAAGGAGATAATCTCACTACAGACAAACAGAGTACAGTTCTAATTCTTGTACAGTAATATTGTGACTTAGTAAATCATCCTCTACTGGAAATGTACTTGCCTATGTCTAAACAAATTTTCTTGGCACAACGTTGCATAGAATCATAATTGTTATCATATTTCATCCCCTCCAACCCCACCCTCCCTCCTTTTCCCTCCACTCTGCCCATCTCTTTCTCTACAGAGCGACAGGCTTCTGATCAAAGGCGGAAGGATTGTTAATGATGATCAGTCCTTCCATGCCGATATCTACATGGAGGATGGCCTCATTAAGTAAGTATTCCACTGTCCTCTTTTCTGCTCTGCTCACACCTCTTCCCATTTGGTTTCGTCCCTCCACTTATAGTTCACCTCATCAACTATTTTCTGTCTGGGCTATGTGGTATCTTACTTGTCCCCTTTATATTTAAATCCTTCTCTCCCCTGAAGGTGCATAGTGCTGCTGTAGAAATTCAAATATTTTACTTTTCTAAAACTCTGAAACACAGATAATTCTAAAGTTCTTGAAGAAATTCAAAATCAAAGGGCTTCTTTTGAAATAATTATCTATACCAGGGTAAAACAGTATTAAAAAATGTGAAAAGAGCACCTTGGGCCTTAAAGATTATCTTCAAGAGTTTAATCATGATTAGATTGTTAGTTTTTGAATGCTATTTGATCCTAAGACAGTAGTGGTTAAAAACTGGTTGCTCCACTTGCAATGATAGTTTTAAAGTTTAAGTGAAGAGCAGATATTACAGTCTAAGTGAACACCAGCTACATAATGAATAGCAGTCTTATAAACACTTCCTCCAAAACACTGATGAGGAAATCTGAAACAATTTAAGAATTACGACATGAATGCAGACTGAATGAATGAAGCTAACAATCTGAACTTGTTGCGGTAACAGTTAAACTGATAACAGCTGTTCTTGACCGGGCTGGGGTAGGACAGTGGAACTGTCTCACTCGCTTTCCCCGTTGTTCTGTTGCCACTTGAATTCCCAGTTGTCCCTGTTGCTCCTAAGTGAGGCAGCTCAAAGAGAGGAGCCCACAGAAAGACTGGTGTTGCATGATAAACACCCACATGCCGGCGGCACTATTGGACTGTTGGCAAACTCACAGAGACTCTGGCTTCTGCCTGCCTGTCTAACTTGTGTCTTCTATAAAAATACTTTTTAGCAGAAGCGAAATGTTAATGTGTTGGGATGGTGACATTGTCCCGCTTCAGGCTAGGTTGACTTTGTTTCAGTTAGTTTTTTTTCTGCTTTAGATTTATACGCATTAAACGTTTTTTTGCCTTTTACTATGTTGTCTTCCTTTCTGGAATAATTTGGTTCCCTGAATTTGAATAATTGGCATCTCAGCTTTGATAAATAATCAAAAAGGGGAAGTAATACTTATATTATGTTTGTGTACATTTATGGACAGGTTTTAATCTAGTTACGATAACATCATCTTCACTTGACAGGCAGATTGGTGACAATCTGATTGTGCCTGGTGGTGTGAAAACCATTGAGGCCAACGGGAAGATGGTGATCCCTGGTGGTATCGACATCCACACCCACTTCCAGATGCCGTACCGTGGAACCACAACTGTGGATGACTTTGCCCAGGGATCAAAGGCCGCTCTTGCTGGTGGGACAACCATGATCGGTAAGAGCTGCAGGAAAGGTCACCCACGCAGTGAAGCTGATAATAGTAAAGCTTTTTCAGAAAAAAAGCTAAAAAGAAAATGCAGTGAGGGGAGGGATGGCTGAACACCAGACAGAGGAAAAGAGAAAGGGAGGCATGGGAAAAGGTTTTGGTCCCACTACGAAAGAGGACCATACAAAAGACTGAGCGTGGGGGGCGATGACTGGTGGGGGTTATAGAGTGAAACACTACTCCCAAAGAAATAGGGCATCAGTGTCGTACTCCCATGTCTGGTTTGACTACAGCCTTTTCTTTTGTGGATTTGTAAACTTCATGTAGGTTAGGGATGAGATGCTGTCACAGTTGGTAGATGCTGCAGTTTCATTAAAACTTCTTTTGGGCTGACTGCTCCTCTGCTGCCTGTTGGCCCTGTTTTCAAACAGACAAAGCCACTAACAGGCGTGCTACTGTAGTAAGCTCTATTCATGAGCTCCATTCATAGAGGGATTATATTCCAAGTGGAAATGTGTACTCTGCTGTCTGCTTGTGTGTTTTTTGTTTTTTTATATCGTACATGTCTGTCTTAACTAGCAAATGAGGTTGTGTTGAGAGATGGTGAACAAAAAAAGTGTGGACACTGAGCGTTTGCCATTGTTTTGTGTGTGTGTGTGTCTGTGTGTATGTATGCGACTGCTGTTTTCAGCTATATCCTATTAACATAAGCAGATTGGGTTTTCTTTAATAAGATAAAGAAGGCAGTCAGGTGGCAAGGCAGCAGGAGGCCTTATTTTATTAGAGCTGAGTTAGATGTAACAGGATATTTTGTGCACTGTGATCCTGTTGTGTCCACAAACAGAAACACAAACTCGTACTGTGTGCTTTTCAATCTGCACAGAAAATCATGCAAATATACACATTATGTATGTAATTATATGTGCTTGTGCTTATGCAAGCAGCATCCATGCAAAGCATTCATGATGCATTTAAGAACTTGCATCGAAATGTGCACCATTCTTATTAATAAAAAATGTGATCGTGGCTACACAGAAAATATAAAAGTAGGTAAAGTCGCTCAATTTTTGTGCAAGGACACCTGCACCCAGATAGAGATGTACAAAATGCAATGTGACATCTGACAAGGTTATTTCCCACTGGCTGAGCACTGCAGGAATTCAGACAGACAGCTGATTATGCAAGATAAACAATGCAGGGAGAAAGTTAAAGCACCAGCAGACAGATCCTGACGCTGCCCTCTCTTTGTCTCCTTACGTGTGACTATGCCCACCCCACTTGTGTCAACTCTTTGCCACTTCACCTGTCATATCGCTTTTTGCATTCATCTTCTTTCTGTCTGATAATACTTGTCTTCCTTTATTCTTCAGTGGACCATGTGATGTCAGAACCTGGTACCAGTCTGATAGAGGCCCATGACCAGTGGAGGCAGTGGGCTGATGAGAAAGCCTGCTGCGACTACTCTCTCCATGTGGACATCACCCACTGGAATGACAGCGTAAAGCAGGAGGTGGATAATCTCATCAAGGAAAAGGGTGGGTCTTGATGGCGTGCTATAAGAGCTTCGTGGGGGAGGGGGGGTGGAGTGCTTTGGGAGATTTTATTTAAAAGTAGTTAAAGAAATTAAACTTTACATAAAACGTTTCACATTTTATCTTTCTCTCATGTTGACTTACTGTTTTTGCAGGAGTGAACTCATTCCAGGTGTACATGGCGTACAAGGACTACTACCAGATGAGCAACAGTGAGGTAGAGCGCCTTAAATGTAGCACACACTTTAAAGACCAGGTTTTGCTGTTTTAATATCTGTGTTAAAACTCTTTTTGTTCTCAGCAGTCATCTTTCCCCGCGTGTTTGATGTGCAGGGATGGGAGAAAAATCAACAGTTTTGAAAAATGCCAGGCTCAGTGCAAAATTTGCTTTTGTGTTGCTATCTTTCCAACTCGGCTCAGCAACGAGATGGTGCCTTTGAAGAGACACAGCTGCAACTTTTTAACTCTGAAAGCTATTTTAAGTTACCGAAGGCCTAATATTAGTTTTGCACTGAATTGTTGAGGACTGTTGCTTTTGTCCTCAATCCATCATACATTAGAAAAGGGCTCACTTCATGGCCTTTATTATTATTTCACTGTGTCACAAACTCCCAGTTGAAGTCAATATAAAATGAGTCATTGCCAACTTCCTGTAACTTCACAGTCAACATGCAAAAAAAAATGGCCGTGACTTGGCTCCAATGGTGACAAAGTGTCTAAAAAAGGACTACGTAATTATTGTTCACAGCCTTTGATTTATGCGTACTGTGATTTTATGAGGACTCAAAAAACAGTGGAAAGCCAGAGGGTGTGAGGCAGGACTCTGTTTCTCATACAGCCGTACCTAATTTGGTTGGTCAAAGGAGCACATGTTTCAACTGAAATAGTCCAGCCTGAAAAACTGATGTCATGCAGCTCGCTAAGGAACTGTGGCACAGCAACATAACAACAACTGCAGTTCATCCACATGACTCTCACCATTTCTGGAGACCACACACAATAATTGCAGCGTGTCGGAGTAGACATCATGTAAATTGTGGGCTTCTTTTAAATTGTGGCTTATGGGTGACCTCTGAGTTAAAAAGGAGTGCCCTTTCTTTGAGTAAACAGCGAGGCAGGATTTGAAATATAAAAGAAGTGCCACTGTAATTTCAATCTTTCTATCTTTCTCATCCAGCTCTATGAGGTCTTTACCTTCTTGGCAGAGCGGGGAGGCATCGCTCAGGTCCACGCTGAAAATGGCGAGATCATCGCTGAGGTAACAATGGAAACGAGTGCACTAACAGACACCTTTTTTCTCCATTGCTTCCTCACTGCCTCATTTTTCTTTTTTTCTGAACTTTTGTGCCCGGTCCAACTCTGTGATATGTTTTTGTTTAGTATGATTTATTTCAGTTTAGTTCACTTCAGTTCACTTTTCTAGTCTTATCACAGTGCATCTCCACTACTTAGAGACTAAACACACTGTCACTGATGAGAGGGAGACTGTTTCCTGTAGGACTGTAATGTGTGGGTGTAGTTTATACAGGGCTGTGCCGTTTTGTGGACAAATGAAAGTGAATCAACCGTAATAGGTGATGGATCGAGAGGGCTGGTATTAGTCAGAGCTCCAGACCATGCCTGGATTCTGTCACTGTGTGTGTATGCGGGTGCGTGTTGGATCTGATTCATCGCAATTCCCAGCTCTCCTATCCAGTTTGCAACTTTAACTTGGAAGTCTGATTTCCATCTGTAAGACCAACATGTCTGAACACTTGATTATGTCATGTACTGTACTTTAGACCACCTAAGATAGAGGTGTCCTGTTTAGATTTGCTGCCAGAGCTTCCCCTGATTATGTTCCAGCTTTTATAACTCAAAGTTCTAGATGCACCCAAGGGGTGGGTCACATCTTTGCTTTTGCAGATGATGTGGTTCTACTGGCTTCAACCTTAAGCATACACTGGAGATGTTTGTGGCCAAGTGCAAAGCTGCAGGGGAAGAAGTAGCAACTCTGAACCTGAGGATATGCTTTACAACCTGATTCACTAGTCCAGGTTGGGGCAGGGTCTTCTTCATATTTGGCAATGAGTTGTGAACAATGGCCAAAAGAATATTAATATAATATTGCTGTTACAAGTGGCAGAAATTAGCTTTCTCCCATTAAGGTGGATTAGGTATCTGACTAGTGTCCCTCCTAGGTGAGTGTTTTGGTCTTTTGGCTTGACCCCACCCCACTTCTCAGCTAGCTTGGGAAGCTCTCTGTTAGAACAACAGCCATGGAAAAGCATAGAAACAAATGCCAAAGGACAGCTTCTCATCTTCAAATGGCCAATAAATGCCGGTTTGAGATAAACTCCCCTCTCAAAACTCATGTACTGAAAGTTCAGTTACTTTTTTCCTGAAAGGGTTTGCAACTTCCATAATTCCCATATCCTATAACTTTTTCCTGACTCTATGTTTCCTTGGAGCGAGATCAGCAATGCTAGATTTCTAAACTTTTCCAAACATATTTAGCCATAGAGCCATTTATTGTAACAACTTCATGAGCATCTCCTGAAGGCAGCATAAGTATTAGAAATGCACCTTGAAAAACTTAGGTTGTAACTGCTTTTGCTTGCCCAATGTAGGCAGCCAGGCAGCCTCTTCTGTGTGAGTTTGGGGAAGGGGAACAGTCTCAGCGCAGCAATGTTGATCAGAGCCACAAATTTGTTTCGTGTAGTAACACAGCTGGGATTCCTCTCATTTGTAGACATGTCTAGATTTTCCGTGTCTGTCATCAACAGGTCCTGCTCCTTGCAACAAAGTTTTTCTCCTCAGATAGCTGAGGGGAGCACTGACCACAGGAATGCCACTAGTTTCTTCAGTTACAGTACAAGTTGTCTTGCCTTTGGCTGATATAGTCTCAGTCTTTAATTTTAGCTGCCTGACCAATCGTAGGCTTCTAAGACAGAGTATTACTGATTTTCCACTGGTATGAGATGCTCGCTGAAAGCCTTATTTGCAGAAGCATGTCACCGTAATACATTTTCAACTCACAGACAGTCGCTCTAAATGACACTATGCAAGGAAAGGTACAAACTAATGCCTAAGAAAACTAACCTGAAAGCAGAGTTTTTGCTTTTAGGTGATGTTCTGAAAGTGAAATTTTCCTTGCTCTGAGCCGTGCACAGACCCACATGTTAAAACTGCTGTTCGTGTACTTAACACACGCAGAACTAATCAGAAACGGTTTATCATTCTGAAGTTTGTAGACTGATGAAGACCTCCCAGAAAGTTCTACATACTGTACATTATGTCTATAAACTGAGCAGCTAACAGTTGACTTTTTGCATGTGTGTTGAACAGGAGCAGGCCCGGATGCTGCAGATGGGTATCACTGGACCAGAGGGGCATGTGCTGAGCAGGCCAGAAGAGGTCTAACATTCACACATCATACACTATATTAAATATTAGCTACTATGCATCATTTGCATGTGCAAGCATTTTGAAAGGGACTGTCCTAAAAAAGTATTCAAATAAATTAGCCATGTTTTAATTTATCATTTTTTTGTGCAAACAGTACAAACATGGTTGTACATGTAAAGAATCACAGTGACATTTTTGGACTGGTCCTCAGACACACACGTTGTTCCTGTTACACACATGTGGTTTCAGATACATTTGAGACACTGGGTGAAAAAAAAGTATCTTGTTCCATCCAGTTTTTGCTGTGAATGTTTCTTCAGCAAACAACAAAAATCAAAGCCACACTTTCAGCTCAACGACTTGTCTGGGATTTTCCATTCTGTGCTGCTGCAGAGGGTTCCTGTCCCACCAGTATCATAATGTCAAGTAGCTGAGTGGAGTCTTAAGAATCTAGAAATTGGTAACATGATTTTCTTAAGCAGGCAAAGTCAGACAAGTATTTCTCTATTAGTGTACACTATCTTATTCAGTACTAATCCAGTGGTCATTGAAGCCAGACTGAACCTCTGGACTCAAAGAAAACAGTGTTTCCATCATATGGAGGCAGTGACGTTTCTACTTGAAACCTTTGTAGAATTTTGTATTTAAAGTCATTTTTAGTTCTCGTTAGCCAGCATTTACAAATATGGAGATGAAGATTTCAGAAATGCAATAATCACAATAAAACACCAGGTGCTTTTCATTGTGGACATGTGTCTAAAATGTGTCCAATATGTTTGCTTTTAAAGCCTCCCAGCTTAGAAAATCTGCAAGTACTGGGTGTTAGTCTGACCTCACTTAAGTTTCTTTTAAACATTTGTTTGCTGATCGCATTATATTTAACTACTCAAACACAATATAACTGAAACAATCCTTGACTTGCCCAGTTTTAAAATTATAAGCTTCTCCTTGTCGTTCGGGTTCAAAACAAATTATTCAAATGATACAGCTCCAAAAATGTATAATTTGCTGTGGTCGTGATATTTGAAGTTTGTTTGACAAAATCTTAATGGGAAAAACATTCCCGAGTCAACCGCATTGTGCTCTTTCGTCTGTAGCTGGAGGCAGAGGCGGTATTTCGTGCCATCACCATCGCCAGCCAAACCAACTGTCCGCTCTACGTGACACGGGTCATGAGCAAGAGTGCTGCTGACATCATCTCACAGGCCCGGAAAAAAGGTAAAAAGCAGAATTTGTCCTGGGCCTTTATATGTTTTTTTTCTTTTTCTGTGTTTTCCAAGACTAGAAATGTGCACGCTGAGTTGTCTCTGTTTGGTATAATGAAAAAAATATCCCACTCTTAGAGTAACATTCAGCTTTGTTGTTCAGGTCTTTTCTGTGGTTGAGCTGTCACACACACTTTTCCTTAGAGGATAGAACAGATGTGAACCAAGAGCCTGCCTGGCGTAGATGGATTGTGAAATTAACAATTTTTGAGAATGTAATGAAAACAAGAAGAGAAGAACAATATGTGTTTGAATGTCTTTGGTGGAAAGCCAAATGAGGTTTTAACACACCAGATTGCTGACCTCAGATAGCCTTCTCTGCACTCAGGTGAATCCATTAGGAGCATTTATGAGCTTGACACGTTTGTTTGGCTCCATTCCTGAGCTGTTATATGAAAACCAGGAAATAATAATGTATGTTAGTGCAAGGGACTATGAAGAAGCATAAGAGCACATGTGTTAGTGACAGGACTCAAACCGTGCATGAAAGAGAACAACCTCAGCTGCAACTGAGCAAGTGGAATTTGTGCATTGCCAATGCTGGCATGGTTCCCCTGCTGGAAACTTTCACATGAATTGCCAAAGCTTTTAGCGAGACTAAACTGCTGACAAAATAAAAATAAAGGTGCACTAACGCAATTGACGATTATGCAAATGGATACCCTCACACTTGGCACTTTGTTGACGTCTAACAAAGTTTTGACTGATTTTCTTTTCCCAGGAAATGTTGTGTTTGGGGAGCCAATCACAGCCAGTCTGGGCACTGATGGGACACATTACTGGAGCAAGAATTGGGCCAAAGCAGCTTCTTTTGTAACATCACCTCCTCTTAGCCCCGATCCTACCACTCCAGACTATCTGAACACACTCCTGTCCAGGTACACATCCCCTTTGCAACTTCATTTTGCATGTGCAGAAACGTTGTTGTTTGTAAGTGCCATGAACACCACTGTGTTGTAAAATTATAGCTATTAAAGTTTAGATTTTAGATTTAGATACATCCAAAGTTTGTGTTTCTTATGAAGAATCAGCAATTGTTGTGCAAGAAATGGACTTCATCTGGTAAGTGAGTTACTGCTTCATGTGGAAACAGGAAACATTAGTAATGGTTTACACTGGAAGGACAAACTCTGGCACGCTGCATACTTCTTTACTTCCAGTCCCCCTTCTGTTTTGTTTTGCTTCTCCTGCTGAAGTAGAAGCATATTTACTTATGTTTACAGAACTTTAATGCTGTACACAGACTTTACTGTCCTGGTGTAATACCTTCAGTATGCCTCTTCTCCTCCCAGTGGAGACCTGAGTGTGACTGGCAGCGCTCACTGCACCTTCAGCGTGGCCCAGAAGGCCATTGGCAAGGATGACTTCACCCAGATCCCAGAAGGTGTCAATGGAGTGGAGGAGAGGATGGCTCTCATTTGGGACAAAGCTGTGGTGAGGACAATCACATACTGATAGAGGCGCATGGTGACGTTTATTTTTATTTTTATCTTGATTCATTTGATTTTTACGATTTTCCCAGAGGAACATCAGCAACTTTATGTCCCTTAGCTTTGCTTTAGCAGTCACCTGTGGTGTTTCACTCGGCAGCTCCACTATGCTATGTCACTCTCTGTGCCTCTTTTACATGTTCATCCATGTCTGTTTTTCCCCTTTAAACAGCACTCTAGCCTCATTTTTTTCTCTATATCACTGTGTCTGTATAATTAACATGCAGCCTTGTTGAGCTTTGCCGTAAAGTGCATTGCTGGCTCTGAAATTTGGGTAGGCTTTTAAACATAAAACTCAATACATTTCCTCAGCACAAGTACTTAGAATCCTTGCTCACACCAAACTTGGACCGACTGTCAGCAGGCCTATTTTTAAAAGGTTGACAAAGGTTAGCTGTTTCCCCTGCTTCCACTCATCTTCTAAGAAATCCCCCATTAATGACAGCTTCATAGTTTAATGCTAAAATATTGAACCTTCACTTACATATAGTATCTTATGTTGAGAGATTTAAATGTAAGAAAAATGCATCATCTGAAACTGTTTTTATGGATATTTTCTCAAAGTTTAAAAACGTCCTCCATGCATTTACATTAATACTACAAATACATCATTCAGCCAACTGAATAATGTGTCTTCAGTAGTAGGACCACATGCTGTAGGGTGTGCTCCATAATGCTAATATATGGATAATGGATACAGTCTCAACATTTCCAGTAATATTTGCTCGTGCATTGTGCTTGTTTTGCTCTCAGACTACAGGTAAGATGGATGAGAACATGTTTGTGGGCGTCACCAGCACTAACGCAGCCAAGATCCTGAACCTGTACCCTCGTAAGGGTCGGATTGCTGTGGGCTCTGATGCCGATCTGGTCATCTGGGACACAGACGCCATTCGCACCATCACTGCCAAGACACACAACTCAGTATGTACTCAGACCAAAGTATCAGTTAAATTCAATTCGCAGGTCCTGGCTCTTTTTAAAAAAATTTTTTTTAACTTTTTTTGCTTCCCTTTCTACTTGTTTTACATTTATGCTGTAAAACCATAGGCACTGTAATGCTTCACAAGTTCTCACAAAAACCTTATTTGATTTAGTTGGTTAAATATAACAGCTGTGTTACAAAAAAAAACCCCCAAAACATCTGGTATTTTTTAAAATAAGAAAAAAAGAAAAATTGTGCTTTAAAGGGTGAGATGTATTTTTGGGCGGGGGGACAGACAAGTAGAATGTACGATCGGAGGTAAGTGTCTGCATCTGTGTGCAAGAGGCAAAGAAAAAGAGAGACTGAGGAAGAGAGAGGGAGAAAGGGAGACTGGGAGTAAGTTAGGGAGGGGAAAAAAAGCACATTTTTGAGCAGCTTCCAGAGAGGTCTGAGTACCTCGGAACGGAAATGAATTCTCAGTGGATCTTCACTAATTCCACTCCACACTGGGCTCACCACAAGACCAGGTCTCAATGCTGAGACTCAATACATTCAAAACGCCTTAATAATGATGAAGCAGTTATTTATAAAAAAAAAAAAAAGATTTATGCCGTGCTTCTTCAACAAAATCAGACAAACAGCAAACAAACAATGATGCAAATGCTGCCAAAATGTCTAGTTCAGCAGAACTGAAGTTAATCCACAGAGAATCTATGTGCTGTATAATCAAGAGGTATTTCCTTCCTCTATATCACTTTCACTTGCACAGATCCTCCAAAATACATGAATAATTGGAAAAGTGGGTTTAAAGAATGGCTCTCATTGTATGAGATTCTGTTACTGTAAACACTAATATTTCAGCTGGTTTCATAAAACCTTGGAGATTTTGGACATCTGTATACACTGCTTGTTGGCAAGCTGCACGTCTCATAAGTAGAAAGCAACTTTGGTTGAAATGTATTTTTGATTTCATGGGAAACATCTCACACAATATGCAGCCTGGACCAGAGGCGATAGTGCACACCATTTCCTCCTGGTTCCCAATGCACTGACTTATGTATAATATTATAGGTTAGCACTTGGGGTTTTTTTTTCACATTAAAGAAATGTTTTGTCACATTTTCCTAAGAGAGCGGGTGGAAACGAGTGTAAAAAGGTCAGCAGAATGTAAATGAATAACCCTTTTAAACTGCACTTAAGGCCATTCGAAATCTGAGCGTCTTTGTGTGTAGTTATGAGTTCAGAGTTCGATACTGAAAGTGAAATTACACTAGAAATGTGAAACTGCATCCTGTTGTACACTCTTACAGTTTAAGCCGAGGGCCTCGCACACATTGTGCTCCGCACATACACACTATGTGTACAGTACGCACGGTATATATGAGTAATGAGGTTTCTGCCATTACACAGATGTTAAAGATTCCTCTCGGGCCGCTCAGCAGCAGAGGAAGTGTCCGCACAGGAAATTACGGCTTCAGCAGCCTAGGACAAATCCTGCTTTTGCATAAACACTGTCCACGAGCAGGGAGAGTATGCATTAGCTGAAAAGCTAGTAATATCTAAATTGATCGCAGGAATGATGAATTGAAACGTGTAGATTTCAGTTTGTCTTGCTTAAAGGCTCGATGACATTTGTTTTTGTTGGAATGCGAGACTATGGCGCTGTCTCCAGATGGAGGAACAAGACGTGAAACAGAGAGAAGTGGACTAATAATATGCCTTCTCTAAATGTGGAGTACATCCACCGAGGATCCATGGGTTCTTGCATAATGATGTCACCCCTTTCCTTTCCTCCTAGTCGCCCTTCCAGCTGTAAAACCACAGAGAGAAGCAAATGACCAGAATCACAGCAGCTCCCACTTCAAATAAATCTCTCTTAAGGAGAACCATTGCAGGCAAAACAATTGTTTTTTCGTGCCCTGATCAATTTTTAAATGTGGGGCCTGTTTTTCTTCAGCGACATGCTTTCTTTCAGACTACAGAGAAAAAAGGTTTCCAAAACACACGTTCAAGTGCTTATTCAAAGACAACTAGTCTACTGGACATTAATATACATAAGCACACATTTCATTAGATTGTCTAAATGTAAGCTAAGTAGTCTACATTGTATCCTATTGTCTTCAAGTGTCTTGCCTTAATGGGCAGCAAAATCAAACGGGAGCTGACCTGCTTACCAGCGTACTGTGTTGGGGAATGCTTTCCCTGAACTGTGTTATATCTCAGTGTGTTATCAGTAAACCCACATCTGGTTTTGATTGCTTGTTGTTGTCAACATAAAATACATAGATGTGCTTAGATAAGGGTATTTGGATACATAGAGAAGAACAGGCAGCATTACTGTTGGACACTGAGAGCCCGCTCAGATTAGTCATGACATCATGTTTGGCATGCAGCGAGTCTTAGTTATGTCCTGTTCTGGCCTGAATTTGGATGGCAGTAGAAAACAGGGCCGTGTGCAGAGGAAATAAGCAACAATGGAATGAGGGGAGGGGACCATCAGAGATTACACATACATACAAAAAAAAAGGAAGTTGGCACAAGGAAAAATGGAGGAGGATGAACAGCACAACATGGTTAAAAAATGCAAAGGATTACAGAAATCAAGCAAGAGAAGGCAAGGGAGTGAAAACATTAAGAAGTGGACAACTGGAAAGAGCATTAGAAAGAAAAGTGAAAGAGCATACAGAGCCAGAAGAAGGGAAGGGCGGTGATACTACAAAGTACTATGAAGGCATCTGAGCCCAGCTGGATGAGGGCAGCTGTTTGTACATGCCAAACAGACAAGTGTAAGAAAGAAAGAGAGTTAAGTTTTAACCTCTTCTCCTCAGTCATTGAAGAGTACATTTAGCATATAACTAATAGGAAACTTTATCTAATAAACACTAGTTTCTTTGCCGCTGCAACAATCTTTGACAATATCCTATGTGTGCTTTTAGGCTGCTGAATACAATATCTTTGAGGGCATGGAGCTGCGTGGCGCCCCACTAGTGGTGATTTGCCAGGGTAAGATCGTTTTGGAAGATGGAAACCTTCACGCCACCTCCGGAGTGGGCCGCTTCATTCCCTGCTCTCCCTTCCCTGACTTTGCCTATAAGCGTATTAAAGCCAGGAAGCAGGTAAGTGCAGTTATTCTTCTTTTAAAGCCTACATTTTACATGTGGTAATATAGTTAGTGTATAAAACTTGAACTGAACAACATGAACTTCGTTACAGCACTCACTGCACTGTTAGATTGCCAGAATAACAATAACATAACTAGAAAACCATAGAATACAAAGGAAATGGGAAAAACAACTCAGTGAAGGACTTTAAGGCCTTCTAGGATGTACCTAAAGGAAAGGAGAGTCTAGGGTGAAATGGAAGTAAGGATGGCAGGGAGAAGAGAGGGCAGCCATGGAGGAGGCAATGAAGTGGGATGTGGGGGAGATATAATAACTCTGACATCACCCTCCAAGGTTCAGCCACAGGGCACTGACTGTGCTTACACGCTGTAAGGTCCATACACTGAGGGTGGTCATGGCTTTGTCATCTCGGATTAATAAAGATACATTGACTTTGGATTTGGATAACACTTTTAGAGAGACCTACCGCACACGCTAAGAGGATTACTCATACTATTAAACTTGCATTTTAACTTTAGACTCGATTTTAAAAGACATTTAGGAAGGTGGCTTTGATTACAGCAAGAGCCACTGAGTAGCTGAGGTTGGAGAGAACTTGATGCTTTCTTGATACATAGGGAGTTTGTTTTTATGCTAAGCTATACATGCTTGATGCTTCATACTCAGCATACAGACATGGGAGTGGTATCAGTTGGCAGTAAGGTGTAAAACATATTGTCCATATTTATTTCCTGAATAGGTGGGAAATCAAGGAGAACTTGTGAAAATATCGGAATAGAAAAATATATACATGTAGAAACTTAGAGAACCCAAACTAAAGGTAAATTAAATGTTAATGTGCAGTCAGGGCCAAACCCAGAAAGCTACTGTAGTCAAGTAGCACTATTTCATTAGACACCCACCCTAAAGTATTACTCATCTGTTCAAAGTGTGAGAAATGGGCCCATTTAACCATGTGATGTATAGCAGCTTATACTTAAAGCAGCCCCTGCTTAATGCTCTCTTGCCATCTTTCTTACGGCCCGAGAAATCTCATAGCCCAACAGTTTCTTAATTCACAGCTGGCTGCTGATGAAAAAATGGAGCTGTAGTAACAGTGTGCTGTTTGTCTTGGTAGCAGTTACTGTTATGCTTTTCTTCATTCACAGATGTCTCTTTTTAAGTGTTGACCGAGCTTCCAAGAGTCCACTGAGTCACGCCACTGACAGACATACAGACAATGGCTTTTCACAGTCAGCTAATAGTTTCAACTTGATTTGAAAGCTTATGAATACATAACTGTATTTTGGTGACTCTTCTGTTCTATAACCCCGAGAAGCGCTTGATTGTGTGTGTTCGTGTTTCAGTTTGCGTGTTTCTGTGTATGTTTGTGTGGATTTGTAAATCTGGAGCTGACTCTTGGCAGGAAAAGATGCATATATAATTTAGACACACAAACAGTTATACAGACAGCCATGTAATGCTAAACATGTGTGAAGCTAGTTGCGTTTAACCTTTTGTTGCACAGCAAAATGCCATAATGTTTCTCCTAGTACCTGCATGTTGGTTCTGTTTCTACATGCAGGTACTTTATGTTTCTTTTCACCATCTCTGCTCTTTCTGTTTGTCCTGTAGTTGGCTGTTCTGAGGGCAGTGCCCCGGGGAATGTACGATGGCCCAGTTTCTGAATTCTCCATGTCCCGTGGCGGTACCCCCTCGGCCTCGGCCCGTACTTCCCCAACCAAACAGCCTGTCAGAAACCTGCACCAGTCTGGATTTAGTCTAGCAGGTAACCCTGCACCATGCGGTGAGACCACTTTTTTAATAGAACAACAATCCCTGTGTTACCCAGTCATTTCTTCCACGTATCTGTCCACATACTGTACGTACAAACATTAGAGGAGCATCCATGGTCATCAGCTAAACCACCCTCATCCTCTTCTATTTTAACTCAGTTACTAATTCATTATATGAAGTCAGATAACAGTCGTGTGATTCTCATCATGTCTTTGCGTTTTGTCAATGATTTATTAAAAGTCCTTGGCTGACTGGAGAGTAACCCAATAATGTCTTATTATCTCGTTTCATGCATTACAATTTGCACAGTATGGCATGCATTTGCTTGCAGTACATAATGCTCCAAAAAGAGCTGTTTGTTTGTGCATTTCATTAAGGCAGTTGCTTGAGTTCTTTTGAGTCTGATTGAAGACTCTATTAAATTAAATTTCTAACACAGTCAGTAAAAGTTTTCACTTTAGTGTTGTTCGATGTAAAGTAAACATGACCCTGGATTAAGCACGCCTTCAATGTTAAAAGCGTTTAAAATATGTGCAAAAGTCTTGATCCACTTTATATAACTTTATATTTTGCTCCCAAGAAGCAAGACAGTTTTGTCATTTTTATTTCAAAGGTCTTTCATAGTTTTCACTCATTTCCAGTCTAGTTCTCGTACCTGACTAATTTCAGAGGAATGTTTATATTAAACCACTTAACGCTGACCTATGACTCATTCAAGCATAAAAAAGTCACCTAACTCGAGGGATGAACCTGTGTTGTTTGCACATAACAGAAAACTTAACAAACAGACATTTTAAAATTGTATCTGTCAGCAATTTCTTTATACGAATCTATGGATATTGGCAAAGATAACACATGTTGACATTAACATCAACTACAGTAATACAGCCTCTCTAATAGAATTCAAGCCCTCTTAATATTTTAGCAACATGAACTGTTGTAGGCTTTGCAAAGCCAGGATATGTCTTAAGATTTGTGTCTGTTTTTTATATTCTTAATTTATTTTTTTAGTTTTGCTCCGGGTCCTTTACCTCCTGTAATTCCTCTCTATCGTTCTCTCTCTCATCCTCTTTTCTGTCTCTCTTAAAATGTGTCCGTTAAATAAAGGCAAAAAGCCAACAAATACATTTAACAAGGTAGCATAAAAGAAAATACTTTGAAAAGATTTTTAGAAAGCTGCAGGAAATGAAGTTTTCACCACATTTGAACCTACGTTTCGAGCTTTAAAAAGTACAGCATTTGCAGTCATCTGGACCTGATTTGTTAAGATACTATAATGTGAGAGCTCACAATAACATTCACGTTTGACATCTGTTAAATTTTGCTGGGCTGCTGAGTGACAGTATGATTGTGCCCATGTGTCAGGGCAGCACTAGATTAGCTTCAAGTAAACAAATGTGAGAAATGCACTTTGTCAAGCTACCAAGCAGTGACGCTTCATACGCGTGTTAAAATCCCAAGCCACTCAGTGTTTGCGCTGTTTTACAATCAAACAGAGCGACCGTAGCTGATTCTGTCCTCCCTGACTGACTAAACGTGTCCATGTGTAGCATTACATCAGTGAGAGCAACTCTGGTTAACCTGGAGAGACCACAGCTGGGTTCACTGTAGTCTTTGGAAGTCGTTACAAATATATGGATCATTTTTAAAAGCTGATAACTCATTTGGATAAACAACTGTACTTAATGAAGTTTGGCATTTACTGTATTAAGCAACCTGTCTTTGCAAGTGTTTGAACTCAGAGATGAAAAAAGACAATGACCTCCACTGGAAAGAATTTCTAAATTTGAGTACATGATTTAAGAGGGGAGTAAGACTGCTGCTACTTTCCCAGGCTTTGAACTATTAACATTAAGTACGTTTGCTGTATAATTGTATGTGCCTTCGTGTGCATGCTCTCTCACTGAGTCTGATCTGTTATAGTTTTCCTTGTTAGTTGCCTGCAGAGTACATTTGCTTGTCTGGAAGAAGTTGGGAAGGATTGTTTGCTTAGACACAGTGTATCATAGTCTGACATCATTCCACTTTCCATTTATACACGCACTGATCATTAGTTAGACCAGGCAACCTGACTTATCATTTGGAAACACCATTCTTTATGTCAGACTTAAGCATCTTTTGTTAATGTTTCACAGTCCTCGTACAGCAGTAGGTCTACTCACATTTGCATCCCCCTGTCACCTCAGTGATACATACCATATGTCATAGATAATGATGTGTTTCAAGAAGCCCTCTAGTGTTGGGAAAGTAATAACGTGAGTGCATCATGGCAATTATTTGTGTGCCGTGATGACATGAAAGCTGTCCTGTCTGACAGGATTGACAAATGCTGCTACTGGTTTCCAGTGGAGGGCAAAAGGGAGTAAATCCCACCATCAGTTCTCTGATTTATTTAATCTGTCACATGTTTTCACATTACTGTAGTCCCAACATACAAGACTATCTCGGTGGTTTTGTTATGTTACTTTCATCTCAACAAAACGACACAGCATAACCTAATTTGTACAAGGGCAGAGGCGCTCCGACTGCTTTGTATATCTGATCGAGTTACACTCATTTGATATGGTTTAACATTGTTAGAGCTTAAATTCAACCCAGTCACCCTAAGAAATTAATTTAGTTCCATAAAGCCTAACCAATCAGATATGAAGGGGCAAAATATTAGATGATTATATATCTTTGTAACACTTTATGCTAGGGGCTTACTTTTTTTACACCGGAGAACTGATTTGGGGTTCAAATGAGGGGTCTGGTGAGATTTTAATCCTGTTGTGGGATATTTTATTTTTTATTTTAATACAGTAATCATATAACTTTTATACATTCCTGAGACATCACCAATAGCGTAGTATTTCATAGGATTATGACGTTGAGATTAAACAAACATATAATAGGCCAAATGCTCTAGATCTTACATGGTAAAAGAACATTTTACTCATGACTGTATGATAAATATTTACCCTATTACCTATTTTCACAGCTTTAAGAAAAATTGGGGTTTTAAAGTAAACAGTAGACTACACAAAGACATATGTAATTCACACTTTACCATTAATTTCATGAACATGCACTTGAGATTATCAGTGCATAACTAAATGTGTAAATGTATGTTCCTCCCATATCTAAATTGCTTGCCAGTGTTTTCCATGCAAGCACAAGTAATTTATAGGAATTTGATTGGATTTAATTAGAAATCTATGTGTTCATTTCTCAGAGAAACCCTGCAGATGTCTTCTTTTTGTACTCTTTGACTCTGCTTTCTGCCCCCACCCCCCAGCCGATATCTTTGGTCTCTTTATCTTGTCCATCTCTCTCTTTGCAGGTCCTCCCACCCCTGATGACATCCCCATCAGGCCTGCTGGAAGGCGCATCGTAGTGCCCCCTGGTGGTCGTTCCAACATCACATCTCTCAGTTAAACAGCAGGACACGCAGAAAGAAAATGACAACAGCCAGAGTGCAGGATTGAAGAGGGGAGGGGGGAGGAGATGCAGAGGACCACGATTATTTCAAAGTTACAAAAACAAACAAAAGAAAAAAGCAAAACACTGAATCCTCATGCCTTACCTGTCACAATGCTACTATGCTCATATGAGAAAAGTATCCCTTTTCCTCTGGAATGTGAACCAGCGTCAAGTATATAGATGGTTGTGTTTTGGGTTGTTTTTATGTTTTTTACTGAAAGTGTGAGATTTCCACCAAATTCACATGACTGATCTAAGTCTCATTACTCATCTATGTGGAATAGTTATCTGGTACTTTGGCAATGTGAAAACATCAGGAAAACTCAGTATAATCACACAAAAACAAAACAAAAAAACAAACCCTGTTCGCAAAGGAAAACGGATACCACATGTCTCAGAATGACGCTATCGTTCGTTCATCCTGTTCGGCTTTCAATGTCACCCCTTTACAGTAGCCTGCTTGCTCCATAGTCAGCAAAACATAACACTAGATTCCACGGTAGCCATGTATTATCTTGCAGTATGTTTGGTTAGCTCTAGGTGGCATTGTACATATGGTAGATGTGATGTAGCTTTGTGGATGATGTTGTTGCAGCTTGTTTGGGTTTCCTGGACCAAGTTAAAGGTAGTTATCGAATCTGAGGGCAGGAGTGCTGTCGGGCATGGAGCTGCATGGGCCGCATTAATATGGGTGACGTGATCCATGATACTGCTGCACTCCTCCTCCTTGCTTTTTGGTGACTACCATCCCCATGATGTACTGTACTGATTATTGATGTTTAAAAAAAAAAGGAATATGGACAAATCTGTTTGGGAAAGATTATGTGAAAACAAAAGAATAGAAAGAAGAATTATTAGAAACTTTTTTTTTTCCAGATTTTTTTCTTAATCCCAAAAAAACGTTTATATGAGTTTTTTGTTTCCTGCATTCCATCGTCACTAGAAAAAAAGAGCTTTGCGAGAAACCGTCCTTTGCATTTGCTTCTAACTTACTGGCTGTTTCTGCAATCCTGAATCATCTGGAAAAGGATAAAGGGAGGGGAAAAAAGATTATGAAAGGATGATCACACGAATTAAAAATAAATGTAACTGTCCCTTGTAACTACGACTTTAACTGAAGAGCTTTGCAACTGAGGGCAACAAAAAAGACTGATGCAATGAATTGATGAACCTGCTTTATGATAACACTTTAGCTCTGGCTTTATTTTTTTCATTCAAGACTAGGACAAGGGGAAGCCCGTCATTCCCTCTGTCATCACAGCATAGCCCTCTAATGCAGCACATTTAACATCAGCACGAATATAACTGAGCCCAGTTCAGTTTACCTAAATACTCTGGATGTGATTGTGTTGGGGGGCGTTTGTGTTTTTTTCATGTCTTTGCTGTTTCTTGATAAGGCAGAGGATTGCAGTGCAGTAAGGTAAGCTTTGTATTCTGTTGTTGGCCCATTGTGGGGGGAGAGGGGAAGACGATTGTGTTTTTTTAAATCTGGCAGGTGGTTTGTTGTATTTATGTTACTTTGACAACCTTTGTTACTGTTTTTATGTTGTTTCTTTTTTTACTGTTGTATCGAAACCCAGAGATGGCAGGTCAAAAATACAGTGTGCTTTGGACGTATGATTTGTTTCCAGAATAAACATGAGTTGCAACTTATTGGCTGACTTGTTTTATTTTATAATATTAATTATTTAACATCAAGATGTATGGAAATATTTAATAGACTAGTTTGAGTGTGTAAAGCAAGGAAGGCTTCAAGGCAGTTTTTTTTACAACCCTGTTTCCAAAAAAGTTGGCATTTTGCATAAAATGTAAATTTAAAAACAAACAAACAATCGTTTGAAGCAAATATATAATTGAAAATATTACAACAAATGCTCTAGCAGCAAATGAAAGTTGTACGCTACACTATAAAAATGATCTACTTTGATTAACTTTGCTTCTTTCACTTCACATCTGTTTTGCATCCATAATTACTTTTTAATTCTGGATGTTGTTTGGACAAATGTTCTGGCACCATCATGGTATATGCACTTCGCATGTTAGGTCATTCTTATGTATTTTGTGAAAAGTTGCCATGACTCACTTCCCAATAAATAGTGATTAGAGCCCTGCAGCACTATACCTCTGCATAAACATCTTTATGTGGCCACAGTTTCTGCTTTATTGGCCTGCATATCTCCGGGGATGATCGAAGAACTTCTGACATCTCTACACATGTGCAAGATCTACAGTGCTGTGCTGAAGTAAGTTAGTAGTAGATTAAGATAACCTGAGTAAATACAAAACTTATTTTGAAATCTGATTTTGTTTATTAAGCAAAAAGAGCCTCATCTGCCTCTGTTAGGCTCAGTGTTCATGATTTAGCAAGAATGGTCAGCACTTTAATAATACAGAAGCACTTCCAGGAAGGTTCATGGTTTAAAACATTTATTCTAAGAGCAAAGTTTATTAGTGCCAGATGCCTGTTATCCAGGTTTCTCAGTCAAAGTGTCAGAACTGTGTATGCTTTTGTCTTAACTAACTATTTGCATGTGTCATGTATTTGCCCATTATGGAAAACTCAGCCTCCTGCAGCTACTGGTATGGAAACATAGCTGTGGCACAGTTTGTGCAGGATTTCAGTATTTCTCTATCCTGAAATCCTAAAAGGCTTCCCACTGCCTTGGAAATGTGAAGCAGCTTATTATGCATTATACATCTTATTACTGTCAACAATAGAATTAGCATAATCATTGCAGTAAAACTTCAGCAAACATACTGTCAGCGCTGCAGCGAGGAAGGGACTGTAAGAATGACAGTGTGCAGGTCCAGCAGTACAGAAAGGTGTACCACTCACACCTCGAGTGAAATTTAATCATAGTTAAGTCTCAGGATGCCAGGCAATGTTGGCATTTTGTTTAAACAAAGGTTAAGAAAATAACATAATAAAATTACATGTGCTTCCACGACAGAGAAAAAAGAATGAAATCTGACTACTTTGGCTGGACAAAGTGTCCATAGTCTCTCATAGGTCTTTCATAGCGGGGGCTACATACACATGCCCTCAGTTTTATGGTCCAGCAGTAAAACTTCTGCGAGGTCCCTCTTGGATTGTTAGGTAGTGAGTAAATGTCTCATGACATCACTGTAATGATGGGAGCAATGAGTCTGCAACCGCAATCTAAACAGAAGTGTGCGTGGTGGCTGTAAGTGCACACTGTGGTTTGATTTCACATCATTATCAGAATACTCTCCAGAAATTTGTCAAGCATCTTCAGACATGCACAAAAACTGCAAAAACACTTGATGTAAACAAACAACGCTGTAACAGGACGAGTTATGAATATCTCTCCTTCCCTTAACATTTACATTTAACTTACGGAGTTCAGATTGTTTCAGATGAGCCTGTGAGACTCATCCAGTCCTTTCATTTCCCACTTGGTGAAGTAGTGCTGATGCCAGTCATGCAGTAGTAATAAAATAAGGGGTTTGACTGTGTAGTATTATTATTTCCTGTACTTTAAGTGTTTTTGGAAATGTATTAATAGTTGAGAGCATTAATGCGCTCTTATTTGCCTTGGAAAATTATAGATTATAAGTAATAAATCACCTTTATTATCAAACACAGTGGACATTTTCTCATTTTTGCACACGCACTAACAAACTGGCAGTGATTCCCTTACCTTCTTGATAAGCAGAGAGATCATCAAGCTGAGGTTTGCTGATTATATCTGTTTGATGCCCAGCAGATTGGGGAAGTATTTATCAGCTGAGAGTCCCATCCCCACCAACTCAGATCAGCCATTTATGTGGAAAGTGCTGCCTCAGCTCTGGTTTCTATGGAGGAGAGATTGGACTGTGCCTTCGAGATAACCTAGGGAAGGGCTGGTCTCAGGTCTCAGGTCTGTATTTGTAGATGCATGTGGGTGAGAGAAGGGACAGGAAATGCTTTGAGTTTGTTTGATACTGACTGCATTAAAGGAATTCCCTGAGACACTTATCCACTGCCAATTTAGCCTAGTGTCGCACTGACAGTAAACAATGGCCACTGAAGCGGGTTTTTCAATATACATTAGCTTGGTTTTGATTTCTCCACATGTGATACCAAAAATGTTTTCAACTTTCTCCTTTTTGCACATTAACCATAGGTTTCCAATCCAAGACTCACTGTACCTGTAGTCAGTTACCACTAGGGGGCAGCATTATCTTTAGACTGGAGCAGAGTAATCTCCAAATCAAACTTCTTTTCTTTTTTTTAATGGAATAAAGCACAGGGACAGTCAGGTTGGTTCAGAAAAAGAAAGTTATTATTTAAGGCACACCTTAACAGTTTGCAACTCCAACACATTTAATTACAATAAACACACAGTGACAACTGAAGGACAACAAAACCGTAAGAGGGGTGAGATTCACATGTGTGGAACAAGTGTATTCTCAGAATAAATTCTTCTTCTTTTTCTTCTAACACATATGTTTTGTTGAGAAATTATATTACCTGGGTCAAGTACCATTTGCCATTGAGTTTTGTTTTGGGGTTGTTGTTTTTCTTTTGGTTTCTGAAGGTGGCAAATGTGCCACATTGAGGCAATAATTCCAACATTTTGATACCCGTATAAGATCAAATTGAAATACTGTTTGCTTGACGTGTATCCAGGATTATTCCATCTACTGAACTATCCCACCTTATAATATACAGACACCTTTTACAGAAACCCACCTTTGAATTTCTAAAATCACATCTATGACAACAACAACAACGACACCACAAAAGTAATTTGTAAAACATTGCACCTGTCTTCAGTAGAAAAGTGCCAAGAGTCATTCAATTAGAGATTAAACTACATTTTAAATGTAATTACAAGAGATCATAGACTTGAAAGGATTGAGTGATACTGCAGCTAGACAAGCTCAAGGTCAATAGAGTGGCACAGTGGGATTAGTATAAATCACATTGACTTACAGATTGTGAAAAGAGCTCAGGTTTTTAAAACATGCACATATAGCTATGGGAACCAGCTGTGTGCCATATCTATGGTCTAAGGCACCCCTCTGCAAACCTCAGAGGCAGGTGTGGTTTTCGGATATAATATTGAACAAGTCTATGGCAAATCTTACTGAACGAAAGAAGGGTGTTTTCACGCCTTGTATTCATTTGGATGCTGCCAAATTTTATATCAGTGTTGTAGCAGCTGCACAAATGTGTTGATGCAGCGACAGATTGCAAATGGATTCAGTTTTTTATGGGAGCAATTAAGAGCGATTACAAATTTGCAGACTTATCTGGTGGCACATATGCATTTGGTTGTATCCAACACAAAACAGGAAGAACATAAGTAAAAAATACAAAAACAGACATGAGTGCAGACAATAACTGAAAAATGAATGCAGTCTAGGAGTCAGCTTAATTATCATCTAGAAAACCACCCTAAGGAGATAAATATTCACTCACAGCATAAGATCTTTATTTTTTTTTTTGTTTCTCTGTGCATAAATGCTACACTTTATGAAGAAGCATGTGCAAAGCGAGGTTCAGTGCAGAACATATAACATCTACCCTCTAGCTTTTTTCTATGTTTTCATCGCAGTGAACCTTTTTGTGGAGACCCAGTTTTTCATTTGCAGATTGAAGCAAAGGTTAGTCCAAAATGTCAGCGTTTTGATGAAGATTTCCATCAGGACACACTGATTAAAGTCAGCATGAAACGTAAAAGCTCCATATAAACATCCAAGGTTGAGAGAAAAAGCTAGTTTGGTAGCTGCATTTTAAATACACATCATGACCCATAAGCAAGTCAAGGAAACATATGGGATGCTTTGCTTATATCTGCTGTTGATTGGAACTGGGACTTCAAACCAAATGCTAAAATCCTATCATCTTTGTTAACTGGCAAA